GATGTTGGACTTCTGCAATAGATAGCACTGAGATATTGGACTTCTGCAATAGATAGCACTGATGGTTTTCCTTTTTTTAAAAACACTTTACAGTTTTATTATAAACCAAGAATTTTTGGACTCACAAAGAGGTATTATTGCAATAATGCACTTTCATACTTGAAATTTATTTGTATGATACAAAGTTATTACTTTAAACAAAATGCAAGTTAGGGGGATTCGCTTTGAATTTGGGTAATTTATAACATTTCCTAATGTTTGCTAAAAGTTCGTTTTGTGTTCTATATATTACATTTAAAAATAATTTTACAGTTCAATTTTATGATGAAGCCTCTAACAGAAACATTAAACTGCAAGAATCTGCCACATTTTTGGTATAATTCAATAACCTAATTAGCATTTTATTTAAATTTTTGATCCCCTATTAATCTATAAATCATGACAACCAGCTATCCTTACTTTACTAACTTAATCTAATTAATGCTTCCATTCTAACACCTTCTTAATTTGTTTATAGGGAAAGGTTTAATTTACCAAAAAAAGATGTTTTGCTTTATTGTACCAGATGTTCAGAAACAATGATAGTGTTAGATTCTTCAAATGATTTCCCTTTTAGCTTTTTTTCTTAAAGCCAAATGTTGCATTTATTCTTTTCAGAGTTGCCTAGCCCTTTTTAACTTTCTAAAATGGTTCTAAATAGAATATCAGAAACTAATGTAGCACTATTTTTTTCTAAATGAACCCCCCCCAAAAAGTGCCTTTCATCATTTAAAAAAATTAAATGCTCATGTGACCTCTAACTAGTATGACAGTAAAACATTCTTAATATTTTTCTGTAATTTTTTAAACCGTAAATTAAACTGAATGTGTAAGGCTTGAAGAAGCACTACTAAATTATTTGGACTATGGGACATTTATGTTGTCTTAATTGTTCTGTGAAGTTTTAGCTCAGACTGGCAAGGTTTTCTTTGAAGATGCATTTATTGGGGAAAGTGACTTGTAAGGCTTGTGTATTTTCAAAAAGAATTTTAATTAGTTCTTTACAGTGAGTTAATCCAAATTCCTCCTGTAATTTGCATTAACAAAGTCACTTTATGGGTCTTTGGTTCTCTACTTTTATTTATATTGTATAAAAGTTAATTCTAAGAAAAACATTTTTGCTATTTTAGGGGGAGAAAGTTTTTAACTTTTTGTAGTTGATGACATTAGGGTAGCACAAACTCCTTTGTATCTATCTCACTCTTTCTCAGTCCTCTCTTGAGGTGCTTTACTGATGGGAATATTGCATTCCCCTAGTACCCAGAGGCACTGTGCAAAGTAACTTACTACACTAAGTTACTTGCTTTGTGTTCCTCCTTTTGATGTAAAAATACAGATAAATCTCTATTATCCAGCATAGGGAAAATAATTAGAGTTATTCTGTTAAGAGTTAATTCCTGTTGGCCCTTCTGTATTCCTCTTCTGATTTCCTCTCAACTACCCTGAAAACAGCATATTATTGATCCCTCTGAGGGATTGTACAATTGTACAGTAGTGTACAATTAGGTCATTTGGTGTAGTCTAATGGAGTCAGGTTGCATTAGGTGTTCAAAACTTCTACTTGGTGAAGAAATGGTAGCTTTCCTGTGTATATTTCACATTGGACAGGCAGGAAAGATCTCTTGCAATCAAATCATAATCTATGATGCTTTATTCAGCAGAAGCTTTACTTAAAATATTTTAAGAGTAAATTTGTCTTAAAAATGAGGCATTTGAGGTTTTGAAAAATTAGTTTCATAAAAATATACATCCTTGCTAAAGTAATCTGACCAAAATGACAGATTCAGCTGTTAAGAATTTTTATCTGGTAACTTTCCACTCTTTCTAAATACTATTTTTGTTCTCAAAGTACCTGTGTAGGAAGACAGGCTCTCTGAAACACTAGGACTGCCAATCTCAAAAAGGGACTACCACCCACCCATATTGAGCACAATATTAATGTGGACAAAACAAGGTTTACTATTCTTTCATAAAAGAACACGTAAGGTTTTTCTTTGGTTGTTTGTATTTGTTGTTCAACTAGATGATCTGGTAGTTCTTATTTTTTGTTCTGTTTGGTTCTATTTCTGTGATGCTTTTCAGTTATGTTTTGTGATAGTCAACTGAGAAACTTAGCCAATCATGATTTATATTCTAGAGGATCTGAATAATGTATGAATGAATAATCACCCAATTTTAACATTAAGTAGTAATCTGAGCACAGAATTTAGAGTGAAATTAACATCGACATAGGGAAAGTGCATTACTGTCCACTTTGAAAGTATGAAAATATTAAAAATTTTCAAGCTGGAATGTCAGTATTCTCATCCTCTAATTTCATATAATTGGTTCGTGTTAATTTCTTCAGGTTTTTAAACAATACTTAATTTTTATCTACTGTATGGTGGAAATGTTAAAAAAAAAGTGTAATATATTTTGCTACCAACTCTTAACCACATAACTTTTAGAAAAATATTCATTCTGGAGGAATTTTATGCTTAATCTGAGTTTAGAGGAATTATCAGAAAATGTTAAGCATGTCCTTTGTAAAAAGAAAAAAATACATATATCTATCTCTCTCTATATATAAGGTTCCTAATTGTCTTATTACCATGGTAATTCCAGTGATTTAGAAGTATTTAATGGCAATCTTGAATTGTAAAGTTGAGGTGTATATATCAGGATCTCAACCTGATGTAAAGTAAATGAGCAGTTACCTGGCAGGTTTTTGTTTTTGTTTTTTTTTTAATTGGTTTAAACCATAAACCTGTAACAAACACAGTTTCACTTCAATATTAGTTATCTTTGTTTATAATGATCCAATAAGGAAATGATAGGAAGTAGTTGAGATTTACTAGAGAATTTATTTTTTATTGATTTAGAAAAACTAGTTTCTAGGGTCTTTGAGTGCTGGATTTTTTTTTTTTTTTTTTTGTCTTTCCCATCCATGGCAGCTAAAAAAAGTGTATCACTCTCAAAATATTCAGGTTTACATGTTAAGCTCTCTCTCACAGGGAGCCACCATACCTCACAGTTCAAAGTGTATTCTATAAATCAGTAACATTGTACTGACATGTAATTGCAGTTTACTATGCAGCAAAATAATTCAAGAAGAAAAATAACGTACAGTGTCTATTTACCTTGTATAGGCAATTGCTTACGTTACTCTGCTTTTAACATTGTACTTCAGTAAAATGTATGTATAGGAATGTAACAGTGCAACATGCTGCTAGCCTAGGCACAAAGTATTAAAATTATTTTGTGAAGATTGGTGGTTGTATTAAAAACTGTTGTGCCATTATACCTCAAAAAGCTCATTCCTACTGTTATGTCTCAAAACTTGTTTATCTTCTGGGCAGAAGTAATTTGGTATTCACTTTTATAGACTAAAAAGGGTAGATGAACATTCAGTACTGAGAAAGTTAAGTTTATCCTCCAAAATACAAGATTTACTGTTTTTCTTACTGACACAATTGTTATATATTAAACTTTATATATAATTGTTTCCCCCAGGAAAGATTTCAGAGAGAATCTTAATACAACTAAAAGGGATTTGTTGAAATGCCAATCTTTGTTTTATGGTTCTAGGGCTAAGTGCTTGGGCACTGTCCCTGAACTTTTTTGCTCAAGGCTAGTGCCCTACACTTCAGCCACAACTGAATTTTTTAGGGTGGTTGATTGGAGATAGTCTTATGGGCTTTCCTGCCCAGGCTGGCTTCAAACCATGATTCTTAGATCTTAGCCACCTAAGTAGGTGTGAGTCACTGGCACCTGGCTGAAATGCCAATCTTTTAGGTAGTTTTACCTCAGCTAGTTCAGTGGTAATCATAATAAGCATGAAATTTTGCCTTTTTAACCAGTCTTATTTAACATAGCTTTTTAATATCGGAATTGACCTAATGATGCTACTGCTAAAGTTACAGAATTTCTTCTGGAGAGACAAAAGTAGCTTTCACTAGAAACAAATAAGTTCATCTGTATAGGCTGTCAGTAAGTAGTTCACTCTCTATTGTCAATTTCAGTTGTTTTGGGAAACTAGAGGTGAGTGGAGGGAAATCCAGAATGCAGTTTTAGTGGTATGAATCAAGAGATGAGAAACTGGTGCCCCTTCCTTTCTAAGATAATTTTACCAAGAACACACAGACCTATGTTGTAATACATCATGATTTAACCTGATAGATCAGTATAAAACTCAAGAAAAATATAGACAGAATTCTGTTTATACAAACAGGTTTAATGTTAGCATGGAATGCAAAACTAGAGCCATTACTCCTCTGACTTAAAAAAAAAATCATTAAAATAAATAAAATTAACCAAGACAGTGACTAGAATAATACTATCATGATAATCACATTAAGTAGAAAAACTTCCATCAACATTTCAAAAATGTTACAGTGCCACATTTCTAAGTACCACAGTCAATTAATTTTATAATATTCCATGTTTCATTAAAATGTGACTCCAGAAAAAGTATCATTTAGATATCCAGAAAAAATGGTATACACACACACACACACACACACATATGTGCTGTTAATTCACCGTTTAAAACTGATGCCCTATATTTGCTCTTGGGTAATTTTAACAAATGAATGTTAACAAATGAATTGTATTTGACAGATAAGACAAGCAATTGGTTATACACAGAACCATATATATTTTAGTAAAACATTTATTATACCTTGCATCTGTCATATTTTTATGAGATGATTTTCATTTCTTGTACTTTCTTGGGCAGTACTTGTGCTTAGGGCCTTGAGCTTGCTAGGTGGGACACTGTGCCACTTAAGCCACACCTATTTCTACTTCATTTAAAAAGCTGCCCAGGTTGTTTCCCAGTACTAAGGTCAAGAATTTTCAGTGTATAAATATATATTTATAATAGCCAATTTATCGATTTCATATAATATGGTGTAAACCCCTAAGTCTAGATATTTCTTTGGAAAAAAAATACCTAATTCTAACTAAATGTATTTTTTTTAGTGAGCAGCACATAAAGCAGACATGTAAACTTACTAAGTGTACTCGACTACTGAGAAATGAAGCCAAACTTTAGAAAAATACAATGCAAGAAAAGATTCAAGTTAAAAATATATTCCTTTGGTTAAAAATCACCCCCTTTATAATAATCATTTGTGATCTAAACTCACATAAGCCCAGAGTAATCTTTTAATGTCATTACACTTGTATTACAATGTTCTTTATTTCAGTCCAGTCTGTAGGCAGGTCACTGTGTTGCAGCAACAAAATGTAACTCTACAGAGAGTTAAAGCCTTTTAGCACTGACCCCTTTGCTGACAGTTCTCTTAAGATTTTTACTTTAGGAACCTCCGACACATGTAGTTTTCTTCAGACACTGTGTACCCAAACTTTTTGTAGAAACCAACATTTTGTGGTAGACATTCAAGAGTAATCTTGTAACAGTTCAGTTTCTTGCTTAGTAAAGTAAGAGTTGATAGTAATCTGAAATTTCAAAAAAAGGGAGACAAACATTAATCAGAACATTTTTAACAATGTGAATTCTTACATAAAAAATAGACTTTTTAGTTGGAAATAGTTTGAGATCATGTCCTTTCTAAGAATTTGTTAACATTAAAAAGACTGTCTACCTTTGTAAAAGCATAGCCGAAATTATTTCATAAAACAATTTATTCCTGCAGCTGAGGATTTATCTCATGGTAGAGCACTTCCCAACATGTACAAGGTTTGGGTTTTTGTTCTAAAGCTACTATTCACATTAGAGGTTTAGCATTCTCAATAAAATAGGCACTTCACAGCTTTGTTCTTTGGGTTTTTTTTTTTTTGGGGGGGGGTTGTTTTTTTTGGCCCAACAGCTTTGTTGTTACCACTTTTTTGTTTTGGGTGCCAGTCCTGGGGCTTGAACTCAGGGCCTGGGCACTGTCTCTGATCTTTTTTGCTTAAGATTACTGCTCTACCACTTGAATCACAGCTCTACTTCTGGCTTAAAATTTTAGGTGCTTTATTGGAGATAGTCACATGGACTTCCCTGTCCAAGATTTAAACCACAGTCCTCAGATCTCAGCCTCCTGAGTAGCTAGGATTACAGGTGTGGGCCACTGGCACCCAGCCTTAAATCCTTTTTAATGCTAGAATATGGGTTTTAGAATATGGATCCGGTTACTATGGATCAGGTTACTCAAGATGGGTCTAATATGATGTGGACATAAAGCAAAACAGTATACATCTTTATAAATGCTTAATCATAACCTCATATAAAAATGTAACCTAACTGTGATAAGAGATAAAAACTAGGAGTGTTCATTTACTGTAGGGTTTGTTAATGTTTAAACAGACTTTTTTTAGTCATGGGGTCTGGGCATTATCCCCAAACTTTTTTCACTTAAGACTAGTGCTGTACCACTTTAAGCCACAGTGCCTCTTCCAGTTTTCTGATGGCTGATAGGAGATAAGAGTCTCACAGACTTTCTTGCCCAGGATGGCTTTGAACTGCAAACCTTAGATCTCCAGAGTAGCTAGGATTACAGGCATGATCCACTAGCACCCAGCTTTGTAAAAAAAACAAAAACAAAAAATACCTTTTTATCATTTTTTTTTCTTTTTTGCCAGTCCTGGGGCTTGAACTTGGGGCCTGGGCACTGTCCCTGAGCTTCTTTTTGCTCAAGGCTACCACTCTACCAGTAAGCCACATTTCCCAGTCCATCTTCTATAATATTGAAAACCTTGATTGAACAAGTTAAGACCTGCTAAACTGACTGGAACACTAAGTTGGTCTACTTTGTTCACCAAATACCTAGATTAGTATTGGTGCGCATACCTCATGCTTAAAAATTCAAAGGAGATCATAACATTCTCTTATAAGATAGTCACTAAACTTATGCAATGTTAATAACAGTTAAACATTTCCTTAGGGCACATCATCTGACTTGCTCCTTTGTTTCCTATTAATAAGGGAACTAAAAGTTAACTTTAAGATGTTACTTTTGGGAATGGAGTATACTTTCAGTTTTCAAATTCTGAGATGAAACTATATTTTAGAATGAGAATGAATTCACAATGAAGCTCAGAAAGAACTTCAGAACAAGACATGTTTTAAAATGAGACTATTGGGGATATAACTCAAGAGTAAAGCAGGTACCATGCAGAAATAAGGCTCTTGAGACAATTCTTAGCATCCCAAGAAAACAAAAAACTTCATAAAACAACATATTGGCAAGAAAAAAGTAATTGAGGATCTAATTAGCCCAGGGTTACCTTGTTTCGGCTTACTTACAATTTGCCAAGCTGTTTTCCTCTGCATTCATCACTAACAACAACATCTTCCACTCTTCCTCTCTGAAAATATTTAATATGTTAAAACTGAGCATCTATTCTTGTTGAAAGCTAAACCAACAAGTCATTAAATAAGAATGACTATCATACAAATAGATAACAAATCAAAAGTGACAATCATTTTAACTGTATTCCCAATTCCCTAACCCATTGTTCTAAAGCAAATCTCAGAATTCTTATCACCATAATTTTGTATAATTTTGTCATAAACAATATGTCCATCATTCTAGCCCTTGCTTAACAGCAATTTATTACAGACATCCAAGTAAAATTTCCCATTTCTAGCATAGAAACTCCATTGGTAAGCATGCTGGTAATCCCACTCAGGAAATAGAGAAAAGAACATTGCTGTTTCTACCCTTGGCACAGAAGCTCAGACTTGTGTGTGGCTCAAATCATTAAGAGTACTTGTGTAGCATGCACCTGAATTTAATCCCTAATACCAAAAATCAAACGGGCTCTCCCCCCTCATACACAAATTACAGAATGCATTTTCTAAATATCCCTATCTTTTATTCTGTTATTTAGTGTCTCTCCTTTGGTTTTACTCTTGGACGAGAGCTCATGAAGGCTGAGAAAGGGCACTGTATATACCAGAATTGTCCAAATTGGAACAGAGTAAAATGTTCTACAAGCTTTGCCACCCAGAAAGTAGTGTTTTACTTTTGAAAAAAATACTTAACATTAAGAAGTCAAAAATTACTCCATTGTTCTTAGAAAAACCAGGAATTGTGCAGGGTTGTTTTTTTTCTATGATTATTTTAGCAAATAATTTATACGAGTAACACTTTTACAATTTTCAGAAATGTAAGAGGAAAAATGCCTGTTGCTGACAGATTGCTCAGAATCAATGAGAGAAGTATTAACACAATTTGTCTAATGAAAAGTCAATTATTTTTGCTAGAAAACACTTGCCTACTTTACTCATGAGCATTAATGAGAGAACATACCTTAGCACAGGAATGGATGAATTTATGTTCTATTATCAGAGTTGCTGTAGCGACAATCTGTCCTAGGGTCACATCTTCTACAACTGTAACATAATAGTCCCCAGATTTCCTCATACGCTCAAAAGATTCTGTGGAAACGGTCAGTATTGATTAGACTGTGTCTGTACCTTTACATTAATCTACTAGTAAAATAAGACACATCCAGCTATTTTCCTTTTTCCCTGGTCCAAAACCATTACTGCCACTTTTGCTCATTGACTAGCACTCTACCAACTGAACCATGCCTCCAACCCCCCCACCCCCATCTAGCTATTTTAAATGAGCAGTACAATACAGACCAATTTTATGTTGCCATTACTATAATTAAAACCTCAACATTTTCATTACTTATCTAACACTCAACAAAACTCAAATAGGGCAAAACTTCAAATTTTAACAAGCAGTGGTTATATCCTGTAATTTGTAGTCTTGGTTTCAAAATGTTTTTTGGGTTTTTTTTTTTGGTCCGGTCGTGGGGCCTGAACTCTGGGCCTGGGCGCTGTCCCTCAGCTCTTCAGCTCAAGGCTAGCACTCTACCACTTGAGCCATAGCGCCACTTCCGGCTTTTTCCTTTTTGCTTATGTGGTGCTGAGGAATCGAACCCAGGGCCTCTGGCTTGCATGGCAAGCACTCTACCACTGAGCCACCTTCCCAGCCCCTTGACCAAAGTTTTCTATTTTCCTTTTTTTTTTTTTTCTTGGTGGTGGTGGTGGTAGTTATTTTGTGTCACAGTGCCTCTTCCAGTTTTCTGGTGGTTAACTGGAGGTAAGAGTCTCAGGGACTTTCCTGTGGGGATTGGCTTTGAACCACCAGATATCAGCCTCCTGAGTAGTATTACAGATGTGAGCCACCAGCGCATAGCTAAAAATAGGTTATTTTTGCAAAACAAAATAAATTCCACTGTTGAAAAGCAATTTACCCGTGTTACACATTTAGATGAGAAATAGCTAATCTGTTGATAAATTCTAGCCAAATGAACAAACAAACAGGTTTAGAAGGAGTTCAAATTCTTATTTAAAAAAAAAAAGCTATACAATACTTACTCATAAATTGCTCAGGGTTGACAACTCCAGTCTCTGTCAGCTGGCCCAGTACTTTAAAAAAACCTAGTTTTGGAAAACAGTATGATAAGAAATGTCCTGGTGGGACATAGGAAATTATTTCTTCAGTTTTTCCATAACCCCTCTGGGGTGTATGTATTATGTGTATATGTCTGTCCTGGGGATTGAACGTAGGGCCTCGTGCTGTCTCTGAAATTTTTGTTCAAGGCTAGTGCTCTAACACTTGAGCTGTAGGCTCCATTTCTGGCTTTTGGGTGGTTAATTGGAGATAAAGGGTCTCATGGACTTTTCTGCCCAGGCAGCTTTGAACCACAACCTCAGATCTCAGCCTCCTGAGTAGCTATGATTATACTATGAGCTAATGGTTTCCAGTTCCCACATTTTGTTTTTGTTAGTCTTTTTTGCTCAAGGTTGGCATTCTACTACAAAAGATATACCTCCACTTCTGGATTTTTGGTAGCTAACTGGAGATAAAAGTCTCAGCAATGTGTCTGCCCCGGCTGACTCCAAACCTCCATCCTCATCTTATACTCTTGAATAGCTAGAATTACAGGCATGAGTCACTGGTTAGTGCATAATGATCTTTTAATTACTGTAGTTTTAAGAAGATTAAGTGAGCCTGTTGTTTTTTCCATAATATACTATAACAAAGAATGATTGGTTTCGTCAGTGATTTTTGCCTGAATAAAATATTTAAAACTAATAATTATCGTTAGCAAATACATTTTTTCAATGTAGTTTGTGTTAAGTTCAACATAAGGAATGTCAATTTTCCCCAAATAGGTGATTTCTACCCAAAAGAAAACTCAGAAGTAAATGTTGACTCGAGGGAGCGGGAACAAGGCAGGTCGTGGGGCTTGAATTCAGGGCCTGGACACGGTAACTAAGCTTTTTTGCTCAAGGTTAATGATATACCCTCCTAAGTCACAGCTCCACTTTCTGCTTTTTGAAAGTGTACTGGAGATAAGAGTCCACTTTCTGCTTTTTGAGAGTTTACTGGAGATAAGAGTCTTGGAGGCTTCCCTGCCTTGGGCTAGCTTCAAACTACAATCCTCAGGTTTCAGTCTCCTGAGTAGCTAAGATTATAGGCATGAGCCATTGGCACCCAGGAAAATGGTGACTTTTAAATAATAAAGTTTAAGGAAATTATTTTGGAAATTTAGATGCTAATACACAGATAAAATCCTATAAATTTCCCCCATGGTATAGCCCCTGCTTTCATTGTATTTGATGTTGGTATAATTTGTAGAGGGGAAGGGAAAAAATAAATCATTTAAATAGGGATACAGGTGGACCCATTGCAACGATGAGATGTAAGAAATTATTATGTCGAAAAACGAACTTTACAAGTTTGGTTTTGGGGGGCGGGGATGGGAAGAGATGGGAAGGGGAAACAAAGGAGGAGGCAACAATGCTTGATAAGAAATGTACTCATTACCTTGCCCATGTAATGGTAACCCCTCTGTACAGTATTTTCTTTTTTTTTTTGTTCCGGTCTTGGGGCCTGAACTCTGGGCCTGGGCACTGTCCCTCAGCTCTTCAGCTCGAGGCTAGCGCTCTACCACTTGAGCCATAGTGCCACTTCTGGCTTTTTTTTCTTTTTGCTTATGTGGTGCTGGGGAATCGAACCCAGGGCCTCAGGCATGCAAGGCAAGCGCTCTACCACTGAGCCACCTTCCCAGCCCACTCTGTACAGTATTTTCACACACACACACACACACACACACACAAATCCTATAAATTTACCCAAGAAAAATGTACTTCTACCCTCATTTCCAAGCTTCTTAAAGACTAGTCTTATGTATTCTAAATGACAATTTTACCTTTGCTTATTTAAAATTCCTTTTTGAAAGCAGCAGTTATATTAAAGTCCTGTGAAATATTATAAAGTACAAACATACACACACACACACACACACACACACACACACACACACACACACACACGTCATTTTTCTGGTCAGGGTTTCATTTAGCCTGTTGGCCAAGACAGTTCCCTGCACAATTGTAGCCAAACATATGTTCATTGGAATTAAGTATACTAGTTTTTTTTTTTTTTTTTTGGTCAGTCATGGGGCTTGAACTCCAGGCCTGGGCGCTGTCCCTGAGCAGTTCTGCTCAAGGCTAGCACTCTACCACTTTGAGCTATGGCTCTACTTACCATTTTCTCATGGTGAATTGGAGATGAGTGTCTCACTGCCTTTCCTGCCCAGACTAGCTTTGAAAATGCAGTCCTCAGATCTCAGCCTCCTCCTGAGTAGCTAGGATTACAGGCCTAGGTCACCAGCACCTGGCTATCCCAGTGGTTTTTTTTTTTTTTAAACAAGATAAAAAGGAGTCCAAAAGTTTTACCAAATGACTAACAAAATATTTGTGGAGGAAACAATGTAGTTCTAATCAGAATTTACAAATGAATGTTAGTCCATACCTCTATTTAAGTCAGCAGTACAAAGAGGCCTCAAAACCAAGCCTTCTCCAGGGTGTGTTGGAGAAATAGCTGGAGAAAATGTAGCTGTATTCTGACTCCAGTCCACTTCTTTGAGTAGACTTGGGTCAAACATAGGAGTGTCATCAGGTTTCATCTTTCCAGTATGACCTACAATAAAATTTTAACTATTAAGGCATTTTATTTAATAGAAGGAAAATTAGTATGCTTGATGAAAGTTTCATTTAAATGATCAGTAAGAGTGATAGACTATTTTTACTTTCACCTACCTAAAATCTAATATCCACACCACTGATTGATAAAAAAGATAAGTTTACTAACAACAGATAGGAAATGGATTACTAAATAAATGATTAAAAGATATTTTCAACTTTAAGAGAATCCTATTTTCTAGTAGGCCTTTTTAAGATATTTTTACTTGTGGGTTTGTTCTAAGCTTTACACTGATCTTAAGGACTGAATATAATCTTTTTAGATTATATTCTTGCGCTTTGTTATTAGATTTACAAGTATTTGTTAACCTTGTCACTAAAAAGGGAGGGAAGACCAAAGTTCAAGGACATCCTGGGTAAAAAGTTTGAGACTCCTCACAGCTGAGTGCACTGACCCTGGCATGCCATCCCAGCTAGGAGGAAGGCTTGAGATAGGTCAAAGTTGCAGGCCAGCTAAGACATAAAAGTTTGCAAGACTGTATCTGAATGGAAGAAGCTAGGCATGGTGAAGAATACTTGTCATACCAGCTACTGCAGAAAGTATAAAACTGGAAGATTTCTGTCTGGCTAAAAAGTGAGACCTTAGCTCAAAATGACCAGGTGGGAAAATGTCTGGTCTAGAGTGCCTGCCTAGCAAGCTCAAGGCCCTGAGTCAAAAGCCCCAGTACCATCAAAAAGAAAATGACAAAAGTTACCATTCTTGGAAAGAATACAAATGTAGTTTACTAAACACTTAGTTAATTTTAGGACATGCTGAGTTCCTTCCTGATAATTGGACCCCTGAGGTTCTATGTGTAATCTGACTTGAAATATGGATAACATTTTCCAGGCATGCAAATTAAACAGGCTCTAAATAATTACCAATAAAGTAAAATCAGTACAATTAAATGTTGAGTCAGAAAATACTAAAAATTTAAGTTCCTTAAGGCAACATGCTAAACATTTTGATCATGGATTTTATAGTTGTAAGTATGAAGTATAACGAAAGCTCAAAAGGAAATAGATGAACATTAACAAACTTTAAGCTGGGTGTGGTGGCTCAGGCCTATAATCCAGCCACTTGGGAGGTGGAGATCAAGACCATAAACTTTCCAGAGACTGCCTTTCAGTCAGTGTCTGAGTACAGTGGTGCATAGCTATTTCAGCAACCTGAGCAGTACCACAGCAGGGGATCAAAACCCAGAGCAGCCCAGACATAAAGACCCTTCCCCAAAATTAACCAAAGCAAAAAAAAAAAAAAGATTTGGAGGTGTGGCTCAAGTGGTATAGCACCTGCCTTGTAAGCCTGAATCTCTGAGTTCAATTCCCAGTACTGAAAAAGATGAATATATACTATTATTTCCTATAAAGTTTTGTTACCAATAAAATGTAGCCTGGGAAATACACAAAATAGGGTTAGTTCGTCTCATGAATAAGAGGGGAGAAGAATTAAGAAAGCTTTAATTTTTGCCAGTAAATATAAATCATTTATGCTTTTCCTTAACTAGATGGTCCTAGTATATGAATTACAAATATTAAGTTATACTTGTTATTTGTTGAGTGATTTGTATTTACTGGCTCTTGAAAGCACACTGAAAGCTGCATCATGATTGCTTCCCTGTTTTACAGACTACAAATCAGGTGCAAGAATCTGTTCATGGTTCCTGTGCAGGTAAGGAAGAAAGTTAAAATTCACAAGGCTAGAGGGCCAGCCTCACAGGACTTACTCTATTGCTGCCAGTTTGAATTAGTTTTTAACAGGGAGTTCTACATTTTAATTTTGCACACTACCACAATTATGTAACTAGTTAGTCCTGCTGGGCAAAATGACTTCAGACTCTGTGAGCTTGTATAGATAATCTCCATTTTATTGTTGTGTAAAAGTTCAAAATTTAACTAGCGAGGCACTTGGAACCTATAGTTTGGAAATGAAAATTAAAGACTAGTCAAAAATGCACTAGGGCCAAGTGCCCATCCGTGACTCACGCCTGTAATCCTAGGTACTCAGGGGGTTGAGATCTGAGGATCGCAGTTCAAAACCAGCTTGGGCAGGAAAGTCTATGAGACTCTTATCTCCAATTAACCACCAGAAAATCGGATGTGGCACTGTGGCTCAAATGGTAGAGTGCTAGCCTTCAGTTGAAGAGCTGAGGGACAGCACCCAGGCCTGGAGTTCAAGCCCCACAACCAACCCTCCTCCCACCCCCCCCAAAAAATGCACTAGGAAAAAAATCATTTTGGAGAGAAATTACCATCCATTATAGCCAGCAGCCATACATTAGTACCTATACTCAGCACCCAGGAAGCTGGGGGAGGATTGGAAGATCACTTGTGGCCAGCCAGGGTCACATAGTGAACTATATAGCAAGACCTTATCTGAAAAAAGAAAATTTAAAAAAAAAATGTGCTATTTAAAAAACACCCAAACTTAAGGATCACTTTATCTCACATGTCTTCAAGTAGAAAAATTCTGGTGCTTAATCAACATGCTGGAAAAGGAAAAGCAAGAGAAGATTAGATACCAAATTTTCAAAGGATTTTAGGAAAAAAACAAGATAGGGATTATTATTTGGTTTACAAAACAACTATACATATGAAGTTTATATTGAGGTCCCCAAGTACTGCAAAACTAGAATAAATAAAATTGCCTGGTTTGAAGCTAAGTTTCGATGGTTATTATGGGTCTGTAACAATTTTAAAAAGTACCAGGAAATCCACAGTTGTGTGGAGGCTCCCCGGGCGGCATACTCAGAGAGGGTGTGAAGACTGTGTCTCCTCTTCATCTGTATCCTCATTGTATTTAGTAAATGAGTCATACTGAGGCAGCACAGATCCCCAAGACAAGCCATTCTTATGGCAGTGAGAAAAAAGCAACTCGAAAAAGCCTCTACTTTTAACTGACACAATATCACTCCTACCCACATTCTGCTGGTCAGCCAGCCTTGTCCAAGGTCAGTGGGTGGGAAAGAATACTACCTACACAGAAGCCATGCAATGGACGGAAAGGAAAGAGAATTGTAAACAAATGACAACTTTCTAACACAACTTTCCAGTAACAAGAGTTAATAATTTTCCCCTGTTTAAGTGATTTTAAATCGGTAAAAAAAAAAAAAAGACATAGATTAAAACCAGACTTTATTTTTTTTAATTTTTTAAATTTAATTTTTTATTTAATTTTAAAAATAGATTAAAAAAAAAACATCTGCACTGAATGATGTTGCTAAAGGTAAAAGATAAAAAAAAAAGCCAATAAAATAAAAGATGAATAGCCCTAACCCTTTTGATCATGAAGCTGTGATTCATGGTTGATAGGACTCAAACCTTATCAAAAACCTAATAAAGGAGTGATTATGCTCAAAAAGCACTGTATACATAAATGGACTTGTTAAAATTAAACTGCTGTTTATAAGTAATCAATGTCAATTAAAAAAAAACTAGTCATAAGTGACACCTGTAATTCCAGCACTAGGGAGGTTGGGGAGGAAGATCTTGAGTTCATAGCCAGCTTGGACTATCATAGAAACTATAATAGACATGTAGAGATGAAAAAAGTTTTTGATGGTCACCTCCACTCTTGTACTTAAGGTTTGGTTATATGAACTGTTCTGGAGCTTTTTAAAACTTTAAAAAATAAAAATAAGCAAACTCTACTCTTCCCCAAGAACTGCTTATTTCACTACTAAATGTGTGCATTTTCAAGGCAATATATTTCCTAGCTCTGGCCTAGCGAATGGATAACCATTAACAAAAGAGTTAGGTACAGGTCACATTTCAGAAAACCAAGAAGAGACTTCCACACTGCCATAGTGGATCACAAAAACCACACACCAAACCTAGTAACACCAATATTAATACTGAATGAGAGGCTTTCATTCAACTGATAATTTTGACACAATGGAATAAATTTAATTTTGAAGCCTCTATCGGATTAATACAACTAAGGAGGTGCAAAATTGAAAGCAACAAGTAGTAGACACTGGAGATTCAAGGTTGAAAGCCAAGTACTGGTGCCTCAGGCCTATAATTCTAGCTCCTCAGGAGGCTAAGATTGAGGATTACTATTCTAAACCAGCCTGGGCAAGACAGTCCCTAAGACTCTTTATCTCCAATTAACTACCAAAAAGCCAGAAATGTAGCTGTGGCCCCAACTGGTAGAGCACTTGCCTTGAGCATAAAAACTGAAGAACAGTGCCCAGGCCCTGAGTTCAAGCCCCAAGACCGGCAAACACACGTACAAAACTTACACTTGATCCAGAAATCTAGAAAACCCAAAGCCAAATGTAAACTGCCGCTAGGTAAGTGATGACTACGGACAGATTGCTTCCGGGGCATCTTCAGTCCCCGGGGGGTGGGGGGGGGGGAGGACCCGTCTGTATCCGTACACCCATTTGACTCGTGCGAGCCTCGAGGACGCGCGCTTGATCTTGGCCCTGCAGGCTCTCCCTCGCGGACAGCCCGAGCCTCGGGTGACTCGGGGAGCGAACTGGCACGTGGGCTCGGTGGCCGTCCAGAGCTCAGCAGGCGCCAACCTCGGAGTCAGCGTCTAGGTATCAAACAGGTAGCTCGGCCTCTCCCACGGGGCCAGTAAAGCATCCAGACCATTCCCCGAGTCGCGCCGTCCCCGCGGCCGTCCTCCCGAGGCGAAGCCCGTTCCTCAGGCGCGGGGCTCCCACCGCGGGGTTTCCAGCGCAGGGGCCGGGAGGGGAGACAAAGGCGGAGGTCAGCGCCGCTGCCCGCGCCGGCGCCGGGCCCGCCGACAGCTCCCACCCAGGCCCCGCCGCGCCCCCCAGAGCCGCCCGGGCCTGGCCCGCCTGGGCACCGCACGGCCCGCGCGCACGGCCGGCTTCGCCTCCCAGCCCCCGGCCCGTCCTCACCCGCCGCCGGGCTCAGCAGTCGGCGCTCCCCTCCAGGCGCGTCGGACGCTTCCCCCTCCGGGCTCCCCAGCACCGGATCCGGATCTGGATCCGGATCTGGATCCGGCTGCAGAGGCAGCGCCACCTCCACCCGCGCCACAGCCGGGAACCGTACCCAGACGTGGCAGAGCCCACGCCTCTGCCCCGCCCCTGCCTCGCACGCACAGCGCGCCGGCGGACGTCGTGGAGGGCGCGGGGCCGGGAGGGGCTAGAGGTCGAGGGGCGGGGCTACAGGCGGGGCTCGGAGCCGAGAGGCGGGGATACCCAGGACAGCTCAGGACAGAGAGGCGGGGCTCTGGTTGAGGGGCGGGGCAACGGGCCGGGGCTGAGGGTCGAGGGGCGGGGCTACGACCCGGCACTGGCGGTCTGGGGGCGGGGCTTCGTGCTTCTTTTCCTCCCCCGACCCCCCCATCCGCTGCCCTCCAGGTGGGCCTGCCACTCGCTAGCTATCACCTGTCTGGAAGCGAGTGTTACAGGTCGTTTGAAAGCACACCTCTCTAGAAATGGGCTGTGCGGTGGCGACCTGTGAGGGTCCTTTGGAAGGCTCGGTCCCTTGTGGTCCCTTTCCTCCCCACCCAGCCCATCAGTAGCACCCCGGACTCCTGAGTCACGGTCCCTGCTCTCTTGACACTGGGACGCGGGCTGATGTCATTTCTCCCGTAGATCCACACAGGATGAGCTGGGATTCTCAGCAGCCGTGATGTGCCGCCCGAGGAGGTTTGAACAAGGTCGGGAGCAGTCTCGGGGGCGGGGGTGAGGACCGACCGCAGCCTGCAGGGGGTCGCCCCCTAGAGGCGGCCCCGCGGCTCAGCGTTTGCCGCCCAGCGCCCTGCAGCAGAGGAGACCCCGGGCTGTCAGCTGCTGACGTTGGAAAACCTTGGTTAGGAAAAGAAAGATAACTTTTGTCTGCGGTCTCCTTTCCAAGGTAGCATTGTCCACATTTCACAGATAAAGAAGCAGAGGTTCTGAGACCTAAAGTACTTTTTTTCTTTTTTTGGTCGGGTGTGGGGGTTTGAACTCTGGGCCCCGGCGCTGTCCCTCAGCTCAAGGCTGGCGCTCTACCACTTGAGCCACAGTGTCCACTTTCGGTTTTCTGGTCGTTACTTGGAGATAGGAGTCTCACGAATTTTCCACCCTGGCCTGGCTTTAAACCGCGATCCTCAGATCTCAGCCTCCTGAGTTGCTAGGATTACAGGCATTAACCACTGGCGCCCGGCTAGACCTAAAGTAATTTAAGTCAAATAGTAGTAGCTCCTCTTACTAAAATTAAAACATAATCAGTAAATCCCATTCCACTCGAGTGCGGGCAGCTCACACCTCTAATCCTACCAACTCAGCAAGCTGAGATTTGGAAGGTAGCAGCTGAGCTAGCAGAAAAGTCCAGTAGACTCCAATCTCCAAAATAACCAGCAAAAAGCCTGGCTGGAGATATAGCTCAAGGGGTAGAGTGCCTGCTGAATAAGTAGGAGGCACTGAGTTAAAAATCTAGTATTGCTTACCCGACCCCAAAAAAGAATAGTTTTTCAAGAATTAATACCATATCAAACAATTTATATTTTATTTCCTTTGTTAATTTTAATTTGGGTTAACTGTTCATCAGTCTGGTTGCCATTGGAGATCCTCTTCCCTCTAGCTCTGGAATGGTAAGATTATAGGTATGTACCACCACAAGATTACAGGTGTGTACCACTACTTCCAGCTTTAAGTTACCTACTGGTTCTTACGGTTCTGACAAGTACCAATGAGGATGGTGGCACCCAATTTTTGTACTTAACGTTTTTATATGTGTGTATATATAATATATGCATATGTATGCACATATATAAAAGAATATATAAAGGCTAAACAAAAACACCTGCTGGGGTGAAGGTGGCTCATGCCTGTAATCCTTGCTACTCAGGAGGATGAGATCTGAGGATCATGGTTCAAAGCCAGCCTGGGCAGGAAAGTCTTATCCCCAAATGATTACCAGCATACCAGAAATGGCGCTGTGGCTCAAAGTGGTAGAACACTATCCTTGAGCAAAAGAGCTCAGGGACAGCGCCCAGGCCCTAAGTTCAAGCCCCATCACATTTTAAAAAAAAAAAAGCACCCAAGCACAAAGGACTAGTGTTAAACAGTAGAGTGCTATCTTCTTACCAAATGCTTTCAATTAGTTTCTCCTAAGCAACAGAATCCTATATATTTTATAAGTTAACAAAGACTGAAACATAATTAGAAAACATAGGGCCCTAAGAGGTACTGGGAGAGATAGATCGCCTGTATTCCAGACATACCTATACTCCTGTTGTGTCCCAGAACCCAGGTTTCCTTAATAGTCCACAGGAACCACTGACCAGCATGGTTAACCCCTTTTCTGACATTTGGTTTGCTTGACAATGATGAGCCTCAAGTAAGTGACAGTTTCTGGTTTAATGGAACCATGAGTATATCCTTTGGTGTGTTTTTGTTTTTGTTTTGTGGGGTTTTTTTTGGTTGTTGTTGTTGTTGTTTGCCAGTTCTGGGCTTGAACTTAGAGTCTGGGCACTGTCCCTTAACTTCTTTTGCTCAAGACTAGTACTCTACCACTTGAGCTACACCGCTATTTTTGGCTTTTTCTGTTTATGTGGTACTAAGCTCTCAAACCCAGGGCTTCATCCAAGCTAGGCATGCTAGACATGCTAGGCAAGCACTCAACCACTAAGCCATATTCCCAGCCCCCTTTGGTGGTTTTATTAAAAGTTTGTTTTATGAGCCCGGTGCCCGTGGCTCATGCTACTCAGGAGGCTGAGATCTGAGGATCACGGTTCAAAGCCAGCCAGGGCAGGAAAGGAGACTCTTATCACCAGTAAACCACTAGAAAACCAGAAGTGGTGCTGTGGCTCAAGCAGTAAAGCACTCGCTCACCTTGAGCTGAAGAGCACAGGGACAGTGCCCAAGCCCAGAGTTCAAGGCCCACAACCAACAAAAAAAAATTCTCCAAGGCAGATAAATTCCACAAGACAAATGGGAGTCAGGTTGTCCTTATGAGTGACAGTTTTGTTTGATAGGATTTTGAACATAGAGGTTAATAAAACAACAGTTATATTTACAACATTGTCACAAAGCATTTTAACTCTTGAGTGGATTGTGTTACATAAGGACACCTTCTTAGAAAATATCATATTATAAACAAAAGATGACAGTTTAGCATAGGAAGACTGACGTGGAGAGTTAGAGAGTATTCAGATAACAGAAATACCTGGAAAGGAAGCAAAATATTAAAGCTGGGGAAACCTTAGTGCTTTTGTGATATTTGTTCTTCTTTTATTGCTCAGTGCTTCAAAGGTAGTTTATTTCCTAGTAGATAGTATGCCTTCAAAGTACTATGTATGTAGTTGCCAGTAGTTACTGCTTGTTAGTCAAATTTGTGTTTGCAAGCAAAAGAAACTAACTCTAAAAGGACACTTTATTGTGTCAATGAGAAAGAAGGCTACAAACACAAGTTCAGAAAATGAATGGTAAAGATCAGGAAAGTCTAGAGAGGCAAGAACTCAGCCAGCATCGTGCTTATGAGAGTAGCTTGATTAGGTTGCCACCAGATTCTTTTCATCACAGCACTGAACTCGCTGACAGGCATGCTTCCTAGCTAAGACAACCAAGATTTTATCATTGCTGTTTCTTCCCATCAAGATTCACACATTATAAGATTCACACAATACAAAAGCCTGACATTTGGGATTCAGAGCCTGGGCAGCCAGAAAAACTGTAAATTTATTTATTTTTGTTATTATGAAGATATGTACAGAGGAATTACAGTTACTTAAGTCAGGTAAAGAGTACATTTCTTTTTTTTTGGGGGGGGGGGGTGGGGGGCTTGTCGTGGGGCCTGAACTCTGGGCCTGGGCACTGTCCCTCAGCTTTTCAGCTCAAGGCTAGCACTCTACTACTTGGGCCATAGCACCACTTCTGGCTTTTTCTACCTATGTGGTGCTGAGGAATCAAACCCAGGGCCTCATGCATGCAAGGCAAGCACTCTACCACTGAGCTACCTTCCCAGCCCAAGAGTACATTCCTTTTTGGACAATGTCACCCCTTCCCTCACTCTCTCCCAGTTTTTCCCTCCTGTCCCCACCCACAAGTATAGTTCATTTTCATCATATTGTCTAGTGAATATCACTACTATATTTGTTCACTCTGTGTCCCTCCATGTTTATTACAGCAGATTATTATGCCATATGCATTTTATATAATATTGAATATGTAGGCACTATAAACATATATCCAGTAAAGTATTTTTTTTCTATAACAAAATGTCTTTCTGTTTTCTTCTTTCTTCTTTTTTTTTTTTTGGTCCGGTCGTGGGGCCTGAACTCTGGGCCTGGGCGCTGTCCCTCAGCTCTTCAGCTCAAGGCTAGCACTCTACCACGAGCCACAGCGCCACTTCCGGCTTTTTTTTCTTATGTGGTGCATGAGGAATCGAACCCAGAGCCTCAAGCATGCAAGGCAAGTGCTCTACCACTGAGCCACCTTCCCAGCCCTCTGCTTTCTTTAAAAGACAGACATTAAATACTGGAAAATCTCAAAAATGTTTTCCCAATTGCAGTATTCATGTGGCCATAAGTATATTCACTTTTGTTTCTTCCATGGCAAAATCTAAAACTTCTTGAGGTATTTTTGTTTAATCCAGGGAACAAAAGCAATTTTCTTTTAAAAAATATAGGGCTGGGAAGGTGGCTCAGTGGTATATATATATATATATATATATATATATATATATATATATATGAGAAAACATTACTGCTGGGAGCCAGTGGTTCACACCTATAATCCTAGCTACTCAGAAGGCTAAGATCTGAGGGTAGAGGTTCAAAGCCAGCCCCAAAAGAAAAGTCTGTGAGACTGTTGTCTCCAATAAACTACTCAAAAAAAGCCAGAAGTGTCACTGTGGCTCAAGTAGTAGAGCACTAGAGAGAGGCTCAGGAAACAGAGCCTAGGCCCTGAGTTCAAGCCCCAGGACCAGCAAATAAATAAATAAATAAATCTACTTACTATAAAACCAAGTGTGCCTACCAATAGTAGAGAGTCTTCTTTAGAAATTCCTTGAATATGCCAAGGTCTATTGATAACTTGACTTCTATCTTTGAATTCTTAAAATACTTAACAGATAGATTACTTATCTGTTTGTTTATTGCTTACTTCCA